ATTTTAACTTGAATTAAGTTTTAAAAAGTGCTAATTTAAAAATCAAATCGACGCGTGTAGATTAACAAAGATTTTATACAATTAGAAAGACTGGTAATTTTAAATTTTAACAAGCAGTGTAACAGCTACGTGAGTGATACACACCTGATGATGGCCATTTAGGGCCGAAACATGTAGTGTGGAGGAGGAAAAGAAGTAAAAACTACAATAAAATTTGTTGCACTTAAGACGGTATTTATCCATATATATTGTGTGAGTGTAACAGGATGCTGAAATATAATATTTAGTCCAGAATATTTGTTATACATTGTTCTAGATAAGATTTTGTAAAATATTAAATATCCAGTACAGTTTTCTTTCTAACGTGTATCAGGAAGCAAAAAATAGTCTTGTGGACACTCTGGCCAGTCCTGGAGGACCATGCATTGAGAGCCATTGTTTTAGTGCAAGGACATCTTTAGTCTCAAAGAAAGTAATTTCTTTTATATTTTTGTCGTTCATTCATCTTCCTTTCCTTCATAACTTTGATATTTTTGTCTTCCCTCACCTGTCTCCATATACTTGTTTGTGTGATTGAAGGCCCATAGACGGTAGAATACACTGTTTCATTTTTTTATGAAATCAGAATGGTCGATTAGATATAACTGTAACCTAGATGTCATAGAAATACAAGATTTGGATGACATGAGAAACTCGAGCCCTGTTTGTGTCACTCCTGACTTTTTGTCATAAATAGATTTTAAGAGGACAGGTGATGAAGTAACCCATTCACCTACAGCTGAAACACAGGTACCCTGTTCTAGGTAATTTTTTTGGGGGGGGGGAGACATGGTTGTACAGTGACTTACTAGTGCTTCTGACATGGCCTCACCCCACCTGCCTTTACATTTCTCACATTATATAGTGAATTTAAATTTAGTAAATAACCTGCACTGGTTTAAGAAGTTTTTGACTTTCCAGAACTTTTATATCAATTTAGTGCCATTGTGGTCAAGAGAATAATCAGTGTTCACGGTTTTCCAGTGCCATAATTAATTTATGCACAACAGCTTTGTGTATTTGTTACATAATTAATTAGTTCAGAAATTAATCTGATATTGATTATGTAATTTTATTTATTCGTGTAGAAAAAGTTTCTTCAACTTCATTTTCATGCAAAGAAATTATGTTATAATGATATACAGCAAGTTTTTTAAGGAAATGTAATTAATGTAATTTAGCATAATTGTCATGAAAACTTAAATTGGCATAGCAATAGCCATCCTCCTGAAATTCATTATACCCAGATATCACTGTATAATTTAATGAGCTGTAAGGTGAAACTGATAAGACCTTCTGGAACTTTTTTATATTGATTTTAAGACTTTTTAAACTTGACTTTGTATATATTCAAAGTGGACACAAGAATCTTGTATTACAGAGTACATCGATGAAGTTGTCTGACTGGAAAGTCTTATGTGAGCTGGTAGTGTGGTCTGTCTACCAAAGTATGTGTTCACCCCTTTCTTATGGATGCCAGTACTTGAAATGGAATATGTTATTATATAATTGTTGTGAAAAATAAAAAAAATCTCTATGCCTGGCAGTTTTTCTTTGAGACTAAGCATAAAATTGTAAGCTGTTTAGATATTTGGAAGGAATAAGTTATTTAATTTTCAGATTGTGGGCATTTAAATTGTGAAATTGTTTTATTTATCTGCTTTCTGCATATAGTGTCACGTAAATGCTTATGTTTTAACCAGATTGAAGGGTGTGCACGGCTATAACAGAGGTTCTTCCCTGCAACTGATCACTTTGCCAAAATTTGTTTAAATTTTTTTATTACATTCAGATTGTTTTTGTAAACTGTATCTTTCAAAATACCCCTTAAGGGTAAGGGTCTGACTGCCTATATCCAAATCATTCAGAGAAAGAGATTAGGTAACACTTTGTCGAGCTGCTCATTGAACATATCCAGCACTGCATTCACAGTCTCTGGCTGAGCCCCATACTGTTGATAAATTTTTCTCTGAAATTGACACTCGTTCATTGAAGAAATGGAGTTAATAACTAGCAGTCACAGTGCAGATAGGAAAAATTGGCCCAATGTACCATTTGTTGACCAAGTACACCACACTTTATGTTTTTCTGCATGTAACAGTTTTTCCATTATGTTATGCTGGTGTTCATTGGCCCACTCCAATGTTCTGATTTTTCATGTAGCCATTGAAGTGCGATTGGGCCTTATCTGTAGTCGTATGCTTCAGAGTTCTGGCAGATTGTCTTCCAGAAACATCTTAAAAGTCACCTCTCCTGGCTTTATTGGCCTCACAAAGGGCTTGCAGTATTTCAAATTTGTGCAGGTTCCACGTTGTCCCAGTTGTCATGCACTAGTGTTGCTTCTAAGTTGAGTTGTTGAGGAAGACCAAATACATATTTCTTGCGACTGTTTGCTGGTTGTGAATATTTTGTGGTGTTCTGACAGACCTTACCAGCAATGCCATTCTTATTCTTTATTGCAGTCCAGTTGTTCCAAACTTGTTAACTAATCTGTTTATTGCAGACGTGCTTGGTGCTTTCCTGCACTAAAATGATGTCACTTGGAATTCATGCTTAATTTTGATAACGATAGTCTGGTAAAAATATTTTTGCTAAAACCATACACTGTTCCACTGAGTATGCTGTCTGGATCACTGCTGCATCATGAAGATGTCACAAGGGAAGCACATTCTCCCAAGGCTACTGAATTCAGACACACTGAATACAGTGATATTTGCTATGCAGTTAGGTAATTAGATACAGTTAAAACATGGGCATCTTATACCTTATATATTTTCTTTTTATTTATTATTCCCTTCCGCTCCCTTCCACAGACTTGTGTACCTGTACAGAAAGGTGAAGGGAGTTAACAGATATCTCTCTGCAGACATTGTTGATGCAAGTACATAGTAATGTTAATTTTTATATGACTGTTTCATTTAGTTATTGGTACTGCTTGTGTCCCAGTATAAACTATAACCTAGATCCAAATAATTGCTTGTTATTCTTCTGTTATAGCAACGTATTGCCCAGGAAGTGTTGACAACACTTAAGGAGCACCCAGATGCTTGGACAAGGGTTGATACTATTCTTGAATTTTCTAATAACCAGCAAACCAAATATTATGCACTTCAGATATTGGAACAAGTCATAAAGACACGATGGAAAGTTCTACCCAGGAACCAGTGCGAAGGTAAGGGTTGTTGTATGAGCTTTGTGCATGGATAAGTTGTCGTTCATTGAGTCAGTCATAGATGTACTATACTGTACCATTGTTACCATGACCAGTGTTGTATATAGACTTCATTCAAGTTACATACTTATCAGTTACTTCTAGGCTACATTTTTCAATTTTGCTTGGTCATCACAATCCATATATAAGTTATGGTGTGTCTGGAATAGCTTTGAAAGTGTGACGTGCCTCAAGTAGGCAACCACGTTATAGAAAAGCCAGGTGTGATCAAGATCTCCAGTAAAGCAATTTTGGTTTTATTAATATACAGAAAATGAATCTAGCAACTTTCTGCTGAAGCCATAATGGTCTAAGACAAGGGTCTCCAAACTATGGCCCGTGGGCCACATCTGGCCCGCGATGTGATTTTATCCGGCTCGCGAAAGAATTGTGCAGAAATGCGCCAATTGAACTAATTTTCCAATGAGTACTGGAAAAAAGAAATACTTGTTCATAGATTTCAAATTCATTAATTAAGATTGTGTTTAAAATATATTGATATTCCATATTATGTTAATATTAATGTTATTCACAATTTTACTAATTCTGGACCGTATACTGCGCAGTATTTCTTTGTACTTGTTCGGCTTCGATCAGCAGTGTCACTTCATGACAATATAGGTAGCGCGAGCAGATCGTTACTAGCCGTCTTGTGCACGAGACTTCTTGCAGTGGTGCAGTGTAATTGTAACAGATCATCATCACCGCCGGTGTCTTACTTATTACCATTTTTGTATTAAAGGCAACTTATGCCCAGTTTTGCTCTAACTGTTCCGAGAATTGGTAGCGAGGATTGTTGATAAGGCTACCGGAACTTCAGTCCGTTCTACAACGGCTGGCTTGTAAATTTATCTCCATTTTTGGGACGACATATCCGTGTAAACACACTTTTTCCCAGATGAAGTACATCAAGTCGAAATACAGGGCAAATTTATCCGATGAACATTTAAAGTCGCTACTTGTAATTAGCGTTTCAAAATTTGAACCTCAATTTAATCAGATTTTAAGAATGCAAAAAGAGTTCCATCATTCACATTAATTGTTTTATTATAATTGTGATGAAAATATGAGCAATTGCCGCTTCTGTCTGCTGTCATTAATATATGATAATTTATTCTCACGTACTTTGTATATAGTTATTTAGTTTATGAAATTCTGTGCTTTCAGTAAAACTCATATACCTAGAGTTATTAATTTCTCATTTTATCCGGCCCGTTGAAAGTGCTGAATTACCTAATGTGGCCCGCGTTTCGAAAAGTTTGGAGACCCATGGTCTAAGGTGTTGATGGTGCTACTACATAGATGTTTTACATTTGTTATATGTGCACCTTTTCTATGAATGTATACATCATATTATACTGCTTTGATGAAAGCGTGTAATTAATCCAATCCTAAGTAGGATTTGAGGTTCTCACAGTGGTGATATGAAGAGTTATGTCTTCTGGGATTTAACAGAATGTAATCTGCAGAAGGCCATTCAATGTCATGGAAGGACATATTACACCCATCCTCAGGGTTGAAGACCAGCATGCTGCTGTGGAAGAACATGGGATTATATAGGAAAGGAGGGAACTTGCCAGCTAGGCTATCAGTTTGTATTGGCTCTCTCTGAGAAATGGTGAACCAGTAGGAAAAAAAGGAAGAGCAAACTACTTTGAGCACGTGAAGATGGTCAGTCCATAGACGGGAACCCTGGGGAGAGAAGTTGTGTTTTGGGTAGAGAGCCAAGGAAGGGGGGAGAAAAGTTGTGTGTGGGTTGTGACCTTATGATGGAGGATAAGAAAAGCAAAAAGTAGTGGAGGGGAAGGGAAGGCCCAGGCTTGGTGGGTGCCTCGATGAAGACATTGTGTGCATGGACATTGTATAGAAAATGAGGGTGCCTCAACGTCTGACAACCGTGTGGGCCTCCACAGCTTGTTAGGAATAGCTTAATCCTTTTTCTTTACCTAGATCTCCAGTCAGATGCTGGCATAGTACGTTAGACTGGACTACAGTGACTTTCCACTGCTCCAATCTATTATTCAGTATCATCCTATCATTTGATGTTTTGTAGCCTTCAGATACTGACTGTATAATTAAATAAACCATGAACCTTCGTAAGAGGGCCGATGGTGTGTAGTTACTGGTCGTTTACCAACATATCACAGATGCTGATTGCTTGTCATTGTTAAGTTTTTTCTTTGTATTATTTGATGTATTTTGATGAAGTAGACTTGCTGGCTTAGAGATTCACACCAAAATGTGGGTGTTAATATTTTGTGAGTTTGAGTTAGGCTGTTTATTTGTGGGCTTCTTATTTTGCAACATTGTTTTCTGTCATAAAATCATTGCTTGTAAGAAATATCAGCCTGAAAATTGTTGAATGTGTGTAACACACAAAATTTTAAGCATGGTGATGGCCTTCCTTCATCATGGTGCAACAGGGCAGCTTTGCACATCACTTGCTGCAGATGTTCAGTGAAATGAAATTCATTAAAATATTCATGTTATTTGGATTGTCATTTTTGAGGAAACTACAGGATGGGTCATTGGTAAACACACTCAGTCCTTATTCCTTTCTAGTGTATTCACAAAAACAGTTGCAAAAGTACAACCATTTGCTTCCCTTTTTCTGCTTGTACTCGTATGTACACATGTAAGAACTCCAGGACTGCTGAAATCTAAAATATGATAATGAATTTCACTATAATTGGTGGAGACTTTCTAATTTTGGTTAAAATCAGACATTAGTAATAGATGCTTGACATGAAGACCTGCAAATGTTTGCGCATGCATCTCCAAGTGTAACTCACTAACTATATATATAAGAGAATAATGTTTTTAAAAGGTTGTAGAGAGGAGTGAATCATATTTCATGCCCAGTACACTTGTTTCAATTTTTGAGGTAATTTGACAAAAGTGAGTAAACATGCCAGAACTGAAGAATACAGTGAAACTCCATTAGAATGTGCTTCACTATAATGCGGACTTTGGTATATACCATTGTTCTAGTCATGGCTCCCGAAATTATTCCATTTTATTTTCTTTGTAAAATATTTATTTCAAATTTCATTGCTAATTTTTATCTTTGTAAGCCACTTAGTGCGTGTAATGGGTCACTCTGAGTTGGCAACATGAACTTGTGTGTTATTGTTGATTTGTTGAGGAGACATCAGTGCTTCTCTGTATGAGCTATGGTAATGCCCTCACATGTTGGATTCAGCTTGTCCACTGAAAGAAAATATCAGACTATTTTAAAGAAACACCGATTAAGTGAGGCATGCGTTTAAACCTGAATGTGATACAATTTTTATTCTAATTTGATATATTTGTTGTAAACAAAAACTGTCACATTAAAACATTATCTCTCACAAAACTTTTTGAAATACTGGTTGTTGTCAATAGCCTGGGTCTTCATTCCGTCCTGCAACACCCATGTAATATCATAATTTTACCGTATTTTTTTACTGTGATGTGACACTATGTAGTCTGGAAGAAGTTGTCGGACATGCCTCCATCTACAGGGTTGAAGAATAAGCCAGGAAGAAGGAAGGAGAGCTGTTATTTTATGCACACAGTTCCGACTTTTTGAGAATTTGTATCTGCAGCAGGATATCAATCCATTGTTGGTTATTGGTAGCACTACATATACAAGGTGGTTCAAATATGACCGGGACTGATTTTTTTTTTTAAACCAAAGTTGCCAAACACTTACTTGCACATGTCAGTTTTCAACATACTCCCCTCCAGAGTCAACACATTTTTTCCAACATTCTGGAAGCATCCTGATGCCCTTTTCAGAAAAGTTTTGTGGTTGGCGGTGTATCCACTCCCGAACATTCTGGATGACGGCATCGTTGTCCACAAACCGCATGCCTTGTAAGTCTGATTTGAGCCTTCCGAACAGGTAGAAATCACTTGGTGCCAAATCGGGACTGTACGGCGGAAGTATCAGAAGGTTCCATTTCAATCTCTGGAGGGTTTCCATTGTTGTTTTTGTCGTATGAGGGCGTGCATTGTCTTGAAGGAAGGCTACCCGCTTTCCACCTCTCTTCTGCTTGGATCGGATCTTTTCCTTCACGTCTGTTGCCAGGAGGTCTGAGTAATAAGCTGTGTTGACTGTTCTGGCATCTGTCAGAAAGTCTACATGGATAACCCCCTGCTAGGCCCAGAAGAACGTTGCCATCACTTTTCCTGCCGAACGGCTCCTCTGCATTCTCTTGGGTTTGGGAGAACTGGTATGCTGCCACTCGCGTGATGATTGCTGGGACTCGGGAATGAAGTAGTGCACCCACGTTTCATCGGTGGTCACTCACTATAGACTTCAAAAATGCATCACCTTCGTCTTCAAACTGCTGTAGGAGATGACTGGCAGCTTGTATGCACACCATATTGCTCATGCCTGTCAAAGTGCATGGTACCCACTGTGCATTCACCTTGCGATAGTGCAGATGGTATTTCATGATGTCTTCTACACTACCAACACTGATGGACAACATTGCTCCAAGTTCCTTGATAGTGATGTGCCTATTCTCACGAATAAGTGCGTGTGCATGATGAGTGTTTGGCTTGGTGATGGATGTTCATAGCCGATGATCATGAGTTTCATTCTCCACGCGCTCTCTGCCCTCTTTGAAGCACTTACACCACTCAAACACACGGGTCCATGAGGGACACTCTTCCCCATACTTTTGTTGGAGTCTGTGGTGAATTTCAGCGGATGGGACGTTTTCTCCAATGAGGAATTTTATCACAGTGCATTGTTCCATGCTCCGCGGTACCTTCTGTTCACTCATCACTCTAGCAACTTCCGGAGAGGACTGAACAGGTTCTGACCCTAACAGGAGGGAGGGTGGAGGTTGTGGCTTCACTATCTCAAGGTCGCACAGCTGCTGCTCAGTGCGGCTTGTTTACAAAAAAATCAGTCCCGGTCATATTTGAACCACCTAGCACTTGATAATATCTTGCAGAACTTGAGATCTCATCTATATTTCATGGCAACTTGTTTAAATATTTCAGCAAAGTTCACTGAAAGCAGCAGTGAATGTATTCAGGACTACTAGTGTCACAGCGAGAACTCGCAGTTCCAACATATGCCTCACATGTAAGCAAAGCAAAGAACTGGTTTGACCCCTCTTCACTGATTCATACATTTTGTTTTCAGGAATAAAGAAGTACATTGTGGGTCTGATCATCAAAACATCATCAGATGCAGATATAATGGAGAGAGAGAAGGTGTATCTGAACAAGCTAAACATGATTCTTGTACAGGTAAGACTGTCCTGAACGATCAGCTCTTCTTGTTAGTCATGTAGAATACTTTCCCCTCCCCTACATGAAAGCACTTCTAATTAATGATCACCCCTTAGTTTCAGTTAGCTTGCGATAAGTACCTTGTGGTTGTTCAGTGAAGTTTCCACTAGAGATTTGCATGTATTGAACCAAAATACTTATATCTTGAAGTCTTCTAGATTGCTATATTGTTAATTCTAAATGTGGTCAGATGTAGTGTTTTTGGAAGCACGTAACTGCTGTCATTATACTTTAATGTCATTTACCTGATTATGATAGCTGATGCACCAAACAGGTTGACATAGCTCTAATGCACTAGGCTTGTGTTTTGGAGGTGCTTGATGCATATCTTGGCTAGGATATAGATTATCCTGACTAAGGAATTGTGGTTTTGTGTAACAAAAAAAAAAGCAGCAGCGATGCACTCAGGATTATTAATTGGTATAGTACTATTGGTAAATGGAAAGTGGTATCCATTCTTGAAATAAAATGGATGTCCGAAGTAGTGATAACAAAGAAAACCTGCATGGGTGTCAGTTGGTATAGTGACTTGGCTATGGGCTAGATGACTGGAGAAATGACTTTTAATTATTGGCACTGTCAGCATTTTGATCAGCTCTGGGGCCCATGCATCCTCATTTCCAGTGGGCACTAGAGGCTGTTTACTCAGGGTTAATGAAACTAGAGCATGAAACAGACCTTTTTCTGGAATCTAATGCAGAGGTGAAGTATACATGGAACTGTAACTCCACTCCCTTGTATATCTTCATGCCATGGTGCTTAAGAGGAACAGCTGTTTTTATACTGTTGGGGAAGACCCAGTGTCATAGTATTTGTTTAGTTTAAATACAGTAATGATTGATTTTGGAGCTGTTCTGAATTATTTAAACGACTGTCTAATACATAATGGCTGACAAAATCATGTTTCAAGACCCATAAGGGATTAAATTAACTATATTAGTACAACTGTAAGGTTGAATGCTATTAATATCAAAGCCAGCCAGTCCGTAGCCACTGCATTCCTCGTCTCCTCTGCCCTTCCAAGTCACTTCTATGAAGTACATCGCTGAGATGGCCTCAAGTGGAATGATGTACATTCCAAGTTTCATTATGGTTGGTACAGGCATTCAAGCAGTATTATGGTTTTGCCTCAGACGTTTGTGATGTATTACTAATGGGAGGGGTTTATTCTGTACTGTAGTATGAACCACGCAGCACAATGAACCACATAATATAAACGGCACACATTAACCATTGGCTCCCAACAGTATGAAAGAAGAGGGAATCTGTTTTCAAGGAAAATGGTGACATTACGATACTGACCTGGTGAGCCAATGCAGCAAACAGTAGAAGAAATTTTACAAAGCCTATGTGTGGTCTACTCCAGTAACAAACTCGAAGCTACTCACAGCTTATAACATTTTCAAAGATCATTTTTAAATATGAAATTGTGGATTTAGGATCACCTAAATATTAAATTAGGTTTAACCTATTGTTATGTATATAACTGTATCACATGTACAATTTCTATTCTGATTTTTTTCCTCATTTTATTGTATTTTATTGTTAATTTTAACCAAGTCTAGTCTAAGTTTTTGTCTAGATTGTGAATTGAGTAGAAACCAATATGAACCATTTATAAATATGGGAATGTTAGCGTTGCAGTTCGGTAATAATATGTGTGAAACTTGCAGCACCTGAAGATGACCCATTTAAGTTCGAAACATAGTGTGTACTGTGTAAATAAACAGATAAATAATAAGGTATTGTTGCATTGACAGTAAAAATTATATACGTTTATTGTATGAATGCAGCAGAATGCAATCCTTAAAAATACTTACCTCCAGCTAGTGCTGAAGTCGAGAAAACATGGATCAATATATCCACTTCCTCATACACCTTAATGGTAGGGCTTAATTAGTTCAGCACAGGGACGATTTTACCTTTAATCAAAATAGAAACCATTATAATCAACACGTTTTTGCTAATGAGAAACAAGTTTCGTTATTACACTTTGATAGAAATTTGCAGTCCTGGAACCAAGAAATTAATTGAAAACACTTTCTGCATGATTATTGAAGATTTTCTCATGCAAGAAGTTTCCAGATGCTTCAAAAAGTGGTAGACAGTGACAGGTCTGATGGGTAATGTGGATGGGGCAGGTTTGTAGCTTAATTGATTCAGTTTCTTGAGCATCAGTTGTGAAAATTGCGGTCTGACATCGTGCAGCAAGATCGGTCCTTGTTGATTCATGAATGTTGGCTGTTTTTCACATAACTTTCGGTACACTTTTTTATTTTCTCAATGATACTTCTTCGCAGTAATGGTCTTGCCTGGATTCAGGAATTTGTAGTTAATGACACCAGCTGCAGACCACCAAACGGTGACCATATCTGTCTTTTGATGCAACATTGGCTTTGGCACTTCACTATAGTCAGATCACTATGCAGATTGTCAGCAGTTATCATATAAGGATCATTGTTCGTCACGTCACAATTCAATCACAAAACAGGCCCCCCCCCAGAAAAGCAGCACAGGGCACATTTCATAACAGTGGTTTTTATTATTTTCATTCAGTTTCTGTGGAACCCACTTGTCAGGCTATTTCATTTTTCTGAGATGACTTAAGTGGCAGCTTGACTAAATTAGCCTCCACTATGGCCCTTAGCTAATTGTTGACAGTGGCTGAGAGACATTTGCGACCTTCCTCATCTTCAAAATTCAGATCACCACAACACAGCTTCTTAAACCAAAGTTGAACTGTTTCCTTGCTGAATGTTTTGTTCCAATTTCATGCAGTTTATGCTGTGCTTTGACCAAGTTTGAACTCAAGCAAAATAAATTACACAAGCCCATTTATTCTGCAGTAAGCTTCAGAGTTGCAAATACCAAAACAGAAATTTGTGTTGCAACAACCCAGTAAATAATTTTTCATCTAAGTAAAATATGTTTAAATTTGACACTCAGTGCTCTGGTGATGGGGGATTTAAATATGGATGTTAAAGGTTAAGAAACATTTTGTGATGATGTGGAGTGACTGCAGCTGGCTTAGGTTTGGGTCCAGTGGTGTACTCTTGTGTATACGGTAATGAAGTTTCTGCAAAAAAAAAAAAGATTGTTGATAAATGTGCAGCTACGAGCTACTGTAAAGTGTTGTGAGGCCAGTCTGGCTACAAATAGTATGTGCAGTATAACTTGCAAAATAGAATGGAACTTGGCTACTCTATAGTTTTGTGAGGCTAAAGGAGAGCTGCGTCCATATACTGGCACAAACTGAAGTGACTGTGCTTTTGCTCTCTAGATTATTATTTTGTGAGGTGGTGGCTTAGTGGGATGTTTCCCTCATGACACTGAGCACTGTGCGTTTGGATGGATTCTTATCTTTGTACTTCCAGAGTAGATGTGTGTTTCTGTTTTCTGTCATCAGGTACTGAAGTGCGAGTGGCCGAAGAACTGGGAATCCTTTATTCCTGACATTGTGGGTGCAAGCAAGACCAATGAAAGCCTTTGTCAGAATAATATGGCTATCCTCAAGCTTCTTAGTGAAGAGGTTTTTGACTTCTCCAGTGGTCAGATGACGCAGACTAAAGCCAAGCATCTGAAGGATACCATGTGTTCAGAATTTTCACAAATTTTTCAGCTGTGTCAGTTTGTTATGGTGAGTCTCATTATCATGTCTGTATAAAATATGGGATATCTGAGTAGGAATGACCACAATTCAAGAATTCTCATTCTGAAAGTCAGTGAAGTTACAAGAGTGCAGTTCTCGCCATATGAAAGAGAAACTCTGAATGATTATTAGTGTTGTATGTTGTTTCAAATGCATGTGCAACACATGGAGTGACACAGGTGAGATTGTGAAGCCCAGTCAGCAGTTGCTCTGAGAATGGCATCTGGCCAACACAAGGCTCTGGGTGGGTGGGTGGGGCATTAATGGCAGAAACGAAGTCAGTTCTTCAGATAAGTTCAGAACCCATCCTCCAATAAAAGTGTTCTGTCTTGGGCGAAACAGTTGAAAGCAGTGGGCGATGCCCCATGTGGGTGGAAGACATAAATACAAGTGCTCCAAGGGGATCATTAATGACACTGGCTAGTTTCCACCCTGGTGCCACACAGACCTGGGTAGAGTGTCTTACATCTCGGTTTAGGTGGACCATTGTCCTGCCACCATCCTTTCAGATGATACGCCCCTGTGTGACGACCCCAGGGTTTACTCTTGGAGGGGACTCGTTTTAAGTATGTGGTACTCTACAGTGCGTAGAAAATCCCTGTAACAGGCCATGGAAGCCCATAAGATTGTGAATTGTCAATCCTCACATGTTTTTTGAACAGTTGGCTCACAGGTAGCAGTGAGGTTGTCAACCTTACATGCCAGCCACTCTTTACCCCCAGGAAGATTCTTGGTACCCATTTCTGTTAGAGACCGAGTCAACTCCAGGACCATAGTGCGGCTGGAAAGATTGGGTTAATTGAAAGATCCAGTGACCTCATTGGGAATGGAAGCCATGACCTTCCAGCTTGTAGTGTACTGCCTCAACCAACTGTAATACTGCGTGCCCTGTGTGGTAATTGTAGTACAGTGATGTGCCCATTTAGCATTCCCACATTTATATAAATCTTACATTATTTATATATTTCTTCACAGTTCCAGTCAAAGCCCAATATAAGCAGTATTTTTTTTTCTATAAGTATTGAGTTTCAGTGTAGTATACAGCTTGCAGTTAGTGTACAAAATTTGTTACCTTTTGGATCTTATACCATTGCTTTTTGCATTGTAGTTGTTTTGATTCCCAGTGTTCTTTCAGATAACTTCCATGTAGTGAAGTCCTTGATTCAGTGTAGCAGAATTTATTTTCCAAGAGGTACACTGAATATACATTTGCATACTGTTTCCTTTTGTAGGCCTTGGGGAGCAGTTTTCTGTTATGCTTGTTTGAAATGAATGTGATAGTAATGAAGCATTTTTCTTTTGCCTTTTTAAAGGACAACTCACAAAATGCCCCACTTGTTGGTGCTACATTGGAGACGCTGCTGCGGTTTCTCAACTGGATTCCTTTGGGTTATATATTTGAAACGAAGCTGATAGACGCTCTGATATCTAAGGTATGCTGTTAATGTAAAGTATATACCTGTGTTACTGAAATTGGGACAGTTTTGTATGTATAATGAAACTGTCATGTAATGGCAGTGGAAGGTGCCATTGGTAACATGCTTGCTGGGTTTGAAGTGTTCATGATGGGTGACTGAACAGTATTTCCTGGACTGTAGTACCATGTAGTTCAGAGCTAAGCTTGCTACCTCCTGCTAGTTTCCTGCTTGGCTTAATCTGCAACTGTAAAAATGGAGGTAAATGAAACATCTGCTTTTCTCCGAACTACACGGTGTTACAACCCAGATAACTGTACTCTTTAGTAATATGTTTGTTTATTGTTTCTAGTTCCTTTATGTCCCTATGTTCCGAAATGTGACTCTGAAATGTCTGACGGAGATTGCTGGTGTTACTGTCACAAACTATGATGACATGTTCGTATATATGTTCACACAAACGATGAATCGGTTGGGACAGGTAAGATGTGTGTTTCTTATGTTTTTATAGTGTTTTCATACGAAATCATACCCAACCCTTTCACTGCTGAGTAATTATTGCCTAGCTATACCCAATTAGAGCAATTTTTACAGTTTTCTTTACATATGGGACATGAGAATTCAAGTGGAAATTGAATTAATATGTATAAACTCATATTGTCTGTTATTCAGGAAAGGAGCTCTGTAACTGACTGTATTGAAGGAAGCGATTAATTGTTATTTAGAATTCATTAACTCAGTTCCTGGCTGAGTCAGGGATCTTCTGAGTATTGAGCAGAACCTTTCATCATGGTATAGCTCAGGCAGTTAGTTGCTGGCTTCCCATCACAGAGGCCTGGGTGCAGCCTGTCATCAGGAGCTGTTGTTGTAAACGCATTTGAGGCTACAGTACGAATGGGGGAGACGAATGCGTATAGGATATTGGTGGGAAAGCCAGAAGGAAAGAGACCACAGGGAAGACCAATGTGTAGTTGGGTGGACAATATTAGAATGGATCTTAGAGAGATAGTTTGGGATGGTATGGATTGGATAGATCTGGCTCATGATAGGGACCAGTGGAGGGCTCTTGTGAACACGGTGATGAACCTTCGGGTTCCATAAAATGCTGGGAAATTCTTGAGTAGCTGCAAAATTGGCAGCTCCTCCAGAAGGGCTCAGCTCCATGAGTAAGAAGTAAGTTGAGGCTACAGTGCCAAGAGATCTCAGTCTCACCCCAGTAATGCAACATAAAAAAATCTCTTACTTACATTACTGAATTGTTTGGGAATATCTGTGCATGCCATTTCTACTATCCATACAAGGTGTAATGGAAAGTTGTCGGACTAGGTCAAAAAAGAAATGCTGGCTTAATTTTGGATGCCATCTCCTTCAGAATAGTCTCCTTGGGAACATATTGTCACATATTTCGGTGACTGAGACATGGGTTTGGATAGGTGAATTGGTTTATTGGATTTATTAACAACCTACAGGTCATAACTACAGTCAGTTGTTACACTACTGCTGCTTTACACAGTGTGCTGTCACTCCACACTAATTTCTTCAGTCTATCTGAACTAGTCCTGACGGTGTATAACACGGGAACTGTAAAAAATCTCACTAAATTACACACACTCGATCCCACTGCACTGTAGCACACATAAAGTCTTGAAATTGCACTTTACATCTTCATAGGCCAAGCTCCTGTATTCTTCTGTACTCCAGGTTCCACTTTACTCCATTTGCATGCTTCCACCACCGTTATTTCTATTTCGTAACCCCCTCAACTGAACTCTGCTCACTTATGTAGGTGAGGGACAGGCAGTGCATCACAGTAAACACGTCACGTGATTGCTTCCCACTACTGTTGTGTGACATCACAACGCGCATTGCATAGCAAAGGTCCATCTATGGACATAGAAAATACTATGTAAGATTTGAGGTTTTCAAGGCGGGGACTATGAACAAATCCATTTTCTGGGATGTGGCGCTGTGTAGGTATTGTGCTAATTGACGTTTCATAGGAACGTATCGCCTCCATCTTCAGGGTAGAAGAAAAAAGAAAATCCATGAGTGAGGAACCAGCCTGAGCAGGTGCTGGCAGACTAATGTCTAGTTGAATGAACCCAGCTATATAAGAGCAGGAAGCGAATCATAAAGATGTAGGTAGTTGGCTTAAGTAGCTGTGCTTCTGACTTGTGTATGGGAGACACATGATTCAAGTCTGGGCTGGGACACTGTGCTGACAGGTTTATTGTGATTGACCTCAGTCCGTTCGTGAAAATATCAGGATATTTCAGATTAATCCATTTTCATATTGTTTTAACCTTTTGACGTGGTCATTTAAATTCCGCGGCCGCGGCTCCTGCGGTAATATATTCAGCCGGCCATTTAAATTTTGCTCGAAAATTATTTATTCATCATTGTTCTTAAATTCTATGAGATAGGAACATGAAACTTTCACTAAAATGATCTTAAAAGGTGGTTTTATAACCTTACCTTATAATATGAACCCCCTTTATATCTTCAATGGAAGCATGTTATTTAGTATTTGAGCAGAGAATGGTACGCCTTGAAGGATGAAACTTTCACTAAAATGATCTTAAAAGTTGGTTTTATAACCTTGCCTTATAATATGAGCACCCGGTATCTCGGCTATGTAAGCAGGTGACGCCTTGAAGCATTAGTCTAAACACAGAGCTGGCTCTCGAAACGACCACCAAGGTCAGTACGATAAAATGGCGTCAACTGGAGCGATAATGAGTACTTTTCCCTCCCCCACACACATCCGTATCGTCTCAGGGGGTGACCACAGTGTTCTGCCTTAAATTGTGGCGTATTTCTAAGAAATGGGTGCTATGTACTGTGCGAAAGCAATCGATTTTACGAGAATAACATTTTGGACAACCCTCTTCTAAGAATTCCAATGGAATGTGTTTGTGTGGCCAGCTCAGGGCAATATGATATTATATACAACAGCACACATCACCTCTCTGGTGTTTATTACTTCACAAGCAAAGCAAATACGCCATTGAGTGACGAAACCGCTACAAGAAGCAACACGAATTTGCTGCAAGACAGGCATATGTAACGATGACTTATCTCAGCTAAACTCGTTGGCTTAGTATACTCTGTTCTTGTGACAACAGGCCAGCGAAAAATCTAACAATCTACAGCAAAACCATCAATTATTATGGGCGTTATAACATAGGTGTGCAGCTGGACGAAACATACACGCCGAACCCCCCCAGACGATTTAAATCCCTGACGAAACATACACGACGAACCACGGCAACGGGTTAAGTTTACAGCAATCGTCCTAACAGTTGTCCCTGTATAGCCTGAGATATTAACAGGATTATTAAATAACTGTAAATGAATAGCTATATGCTGAAATGCTGTATAATGTAACTTATGTCTTGAGTTTTATGTGGCTCCTGCTGTAAAGGTAGGACTCTTTAAGACTTGGAATCTTACTGACAGAAGTATAATGTATGGTTCAACATATGTATTTTTCTCACAGATGCTCCCCCTGAATACCAATATTCGAGAAGCATATGCTTGTGGACAAGACCAGGAACAGAATTTCATACAGAATTTAGCAATGTTTCTATGCACTTATTTGAAAGAGCATGGTGCTTTAGTGGAGAAGAAACAGTTAAATGATCTTTTAATGAAGGTAAGAAAGTTATATTGTTTTGGTGGCCTCACAACTGTTACATAGGTGTTCTGTGTTGTAGTTCGTGCTTGATCAGGGCTGGTGTGAATCACTTAAATTCTGGTAATGCTTGCTGCTGTACAGTTCGAAGCCTTTGTCATCTCATCTGTTGTCTAAAAGCATAAAAATTGAAAATACAAAACTATAATTTTGCTTATAGTTTTTTATGTGTGTGGAGCTTGGTGTTCCACACTAAGGGAGAAACATAGGCTGAATGTGTTCAAGAACATGGTTCTGAGGAGAATACTTGGCCCCAAGAAGGACAAAATAATAGCAGGTTGAGAAAAATGCACAATGAGGAGCTTCATAACTTTTTCCCTTCTCCGAATATAATTAGAAGTGTAAAGTCAAGGATGAGCAAATGGGTAGGGCATGTAGCACATGGGAGAGAAGAGGACTGTGTACAGGGTTTTGGTGGGAAAGCCAGGAAGAAAAAGAGACCACTAGGAAAACCCAGACATAGGTGGGTAAAAAATGTTAAAATTAATCTTAGAGAAATGGAATGGGCTGGTAATGAGCTGCATTCAGCTGGCTCAGGATAGGATTAGTGGCAGGCTGTTGTGTGCATGGTAATGAACCTTTGAGTTCCATGAAATGTTCTGAAATTCTAGAATAGCTGAGCAACTGGTGGCTTCTCAGGAAGGGCTCAGCTCTAGTTCAACTTTTCGCCATGGTATATCATTGAAATTCATTTTTGACTGGTACTAGTGACCTGTTTGCTGCATATGTGTAGCTATTTACAGATATTTGGCCATTTGTCCTTCCACTCTCGTTAGCCTGTTTTCCTTTCCACGTGGAAAATAATTAGGCTTATGAGATTACTACGCTTTCACAAAACATGATATGAATGTTGCGACATTAGAGGCCATGTCAACACCATGCCTTTGTGATTTTATGTAGTTGGTAATAGCAGCATGGTGGCTGGATGAACATGTTAACATATTTGATGGGAGCAACAGTAGTACTGCGAAACATATACTTCTGGAATAATTTATATTAATAGACCTTGGAAAATTTTGAACTTTTTTATTGTTACTGGTTTTGGTGGTGGTCTGTTACATATTTACAGTTGATATGAATGAAAAATTCTGCCTCTAGTGGGATTGTGTTGTGTGACCATTTTTGCACAAAACCTGAATGTTAACCTGTGGGCTGCATTGCGCTATTGATTCATTGTGAAGTCAGATTGTCTGAATATGGCACTAAGACACTAACAACACAAAGTTTGTAGGCCTGAAGGCCTGGAACCTCATAGAAGGCTCTGAATGTATGTAATATAGCTCAAAACATGGCAAAAAAGTCTAAATCCGGAAGAATTTTTTATTTTGACATGAAAATGTTGTGTTGTCAACTGTTATGTGATGTTACCCTTCACTTTTTGCCCGTTTCAGGCGCTTCATTACTTAGTCTTGATCTCTGAAGTTGATGAGGTAGAGATCTTCAAGATTTGTCTAGAATATTGGAATGGGTTGAGTGCTGACCTGTATCGGGAGTGCCCATTGACTCCCCAGTCACCCCTCTGCCTGGCAAGAACCAACTCTGCCATTCCACCACGTCGAATGTTCTATAGTGATGTACTTACGAAGGTAGGGCAGGATTACATGTTCTATAGCAGTGGTTCCCAAATGCTTTTAGGACACTGTCCCCTTCTTTCCATAAACTCATCCCATGCCCCTTACCCAACACTGTAAAAAGCAGTCGTCAGAATAGGTGTTTGCATAACCCACTAAGGAATTCAAAACAGTGATATTTAATTACACCTTTATTCAAAATCCAATGAGAACATTTTAGCCTAATTCAACAAAATTGATGAACTTGGTCCAGTGATACATGCTTTTCGAAGTCTGATCGTTATTTAGCAAGAATCTCGGATACCGCGTTTAGTAACCACTTCAGTGTTAGTATATTCTTAATGCAGTGGATGGACCCGATGAAGTGATACTGGTTTGCCATTGAATAGTATAATGTCACTTGGCATGAGTCTTGAATCACCATGTTGCATAATCTGGAGTTGATTCTTTGCTGGTGAGGAGTTGGATGACCTCGATAAAACCATGTTCCACCAAATGTGATGCTGGAAATGCAACAGGGAGCTTCTTAACCACTGTCCATAGTGCAAGGATAGCAATCAGAAATTTCCTTCTGTAACTAGAACTTTAGGCATGATTTCTTAAGCTTTGGCTTCAGCTCAGTTCTTGCTCTGATATGTCACCTTCCCCAGGTATCACCACATTTGAAATGTCCATCAAAAGAAGATCCTCAGATTGCTCAGATACATCTTCATGCAGTAACATATCCAAGTGGTCACAAAAAACTTGTGTATTGTCTTATATCCCACCTCTGTGGTCTAGTGGTCAGAGTTCCTGGGTTCGATTCCCAGCTACCAGATTTTCTGAGAAGTGGTGAATATGGAACAGGGTCCACTCAGCTTCGTGAGGTTAATTGAGGAGATACTTGAATGGGAAAGTAGTGGCTTTGGTCTAGAAAACCAAGATTAAGGGATGTGGGAATCCGTTGCGCTACACCCCTCTGTCTTCAAAAGTTGGCACTAACTTTGCCAACAAGCGGTAGTCGCTCAGTCAGTATAGTTCACTTGCAGACTAAAGGCAACAGAGTTTATTTTTGTTTATGTTTTTGTTCTTGGTTTACTTTGAAATAAACAGTGATGATAGATGTGGCCTTAATATTTCCATGCCTTTGCAAATATTCCTGATAAGTAAGCAGTGTCATGCTTGATCTCTTTGAGTTCATCACTGAGCAGAGCATTTGTGTCCTAAGAAGACCACTCCACAGCAGTGTCACAGAGGTGTGAAAGCATCTTGCACAGTTCGCCTTTTGATAGCGAGTGTACCTCAGTACGAAGCAGCTAACGTTAAAAATCTTCATTCTTAAGATAGAGCTCCCGGAATATTTGATTATTGGGAGCATGGGCTTTAATTTTATTCAGTGCTGTAATGACTTGTACAGGTGATCACTGGGGTTTTTTGCACCCAGATGTTGGCAGTGAAAGACATTGAATGGTGATGATATTTATCCATGATATGTATACAGTTGCCGTCTTGTAGTGCACTCAATTTCACCTGTTACTTCACGACATGTTTCGGCAACATAGTGCCATCATCAGGTGCCCTAATCACGCTAATCTATTTCATTGCTTGCCTTTATAAAAGTATTTAAAAGTGCGTATTTGTCAACTATAATGAATTTACACACACTAAAACTTGTTAAGATTATTCATCTTATGTGTCATAATTAAAACTTGTGTGTGGTTCTTCCACTATGGGGGTCGTTTTTCTTATATTCTGTGTAATGTGATGTGTGTTCCCTTCTTGGCTGCGAGTGTTGTAATGTTCAACAATCGCAGCTAAGAAGGGAACACACATCACAAGACATGGTTTAACCTTTAAGAGCCGGCATATAAACCCCCCACGACTGCGCTGCTGCCGGAGTTAATTTGACCTTTCCCTTTTAATATTGTAGACTTTCAGAAAAAACTACATATTTTCCGTTCTATGCAACTTAGAAATACGAACTAAAAACCGCCTGAAAGAGAATGAAATTTCCTACAATATACCTATGACAATTTTTACAAATAAAAATTAACTGTAATTGTTATGTCATGAAATTCAAAATATACTCTCTATTATATGTGCAATGAAATTCCAAAAGACTTACCCATAAGTTTTTCTTCAAATTTGAGACGTCGTTATATCCAAAATACATTGACACTATACACCAATATGTTTGGTCAGACTGTACACGAGTTTCAACTCGTTGCGTCGTGTAAGTTTACGCTACTATAGATACTGCGTGCGGGAGCGCGGAGAGGCAGAGTTTGCTTCAGCGCGTTGTGAAGGTCACACAGACCTCACTTCTCATACGCTGGTAGACAATCTGGTTCAGTCTCTCGCTTAGCGAACAAACAGGAAGTTATTGTTTCTATCTGGCTGGCCGGACAGTGTTGTCAATGTTCAGTTCCAGATGACTCAATGAAAAATCTTGGCTTCCCCAGAGAAACAGTCCGCCACTGACTCACAAGCTGATAATTCAGACACTCACTAAACACGTCACACTTCCTTGAGAGCTACAGAAGCAGTGATCTGCCCGCACAGAGGAATGTTGGGTCAGCTTTTCTGTGAAGAAGCTTCCACTCTGTTTGGCTGACCAAGTCACAAACAGTCTTACCTACATGTAAACGAAATCGAACCCAGTGCCATGATGAAGGGTTTTATTGTTCAGAGCCAACAACTGGACCTCTGACTTGAACTTGCGTGTGTTTGTTTTGGTTTCAAACTCAACGTCTAACCGTCAGCACTTCTAAAGTGAGCACGTGTCTTGCGTCCAGTATACTGGACTTTCGGCATCTTCGAGGTCACAGGTACCGTCCGGTATACCGGACTTTCGGTCGTTAAAGGTTAATCGATCACTGGGCAGTGAAAGTCAGTATAACTACAGCTGTATAAACACCTGAGACTAGGCTCTGTTGACAGCAGTAACAGGAAAATATGCAATAAAAATTGTGACAAAGCATTCTTAGACCTGAAACTAAGGTAGAAAGAGATGTGTAAGCTTTATGCAACAAACCAACTCCAAGAAAAAACAGTGCACATAATTAATTGGAGAATTTTGTGAAACCTTTTTGTGCCTACTGCTAGGGCCATCTATGGAGTAAGAACTAAACGCTCGAGACTAAACCTTACAGAAACCCATGAAGAATCTGTCACATCATACTGATCTCTCTGAGTTGATAACCTCACTGTGGGTAAGGGGGTCCAGATAGGAGAAGAGGCCAAACTGGGTTGGCTGATCCAGTTTAAGCTTGCCGTATGGGCCGATTCCTTGTATTTCTTATACCTGCTGTTACTTTCAATTTCCAAACTAGCCTCATCCCAGCCTACCCTATGCCCCCCCCCTAAAAATTCCTGACATCAAACTTCAGGTCCCTTCTTCCAGCCATCACTGGAGTTAACAGAATCAGCCACATGGAAGGTCCAGCACTGGCCGTATCTGGAGGCCCTAGTCAAATGTTTCTTCATAATGATTAACTGTTGAAGTAAGCACAAACTTCTTGTGAAGTTTAAATAACTGTTACAGAGCCAAACTTTTTGCTTTGAAATTATTTATTTTGGTGTATGTCTGTTCCTGCAGGTACGATACATCATGATCAGTCGAATGGCAAAACCAGAAGAAGTTTTAGTGGTGGAAAATGAGAATGGTGAAGTAGTGCGAGAGTTTATGAAGGACACTGACGCAATCAACTTATATAAGAACATGAGGGAAACACTGGTGTACCTCACTCATCTGGACTATGCAGACACAGAGCGGGTTATGACAGAGAAGCTTCAGAACCAAGTCAGTGGGGCGGAGTGGTCATGGAAGAACCTGAACACAGTAAGAACACTTTGTTTCACTTTGCTAATGTAAACATATTTACAGGATAAATACTGTGACTGAAAATTCCATGCTTAACTAACTAAGTGACTTACTAACTCCATGGAGTAGAGTCCTTGACAAGCTGTCAGTTTTTCAGCTACTCAAGCATGTCCCCAGCACTTTATGGAACCTGAAGGTTCATTACTGTGTTCGCAGGAACCTTCCACTGGTCCCTATCCTCAGCCTAATCAGTTCATCCCCTACCATAACACTAATCGACACCAACATAAATAGTATATATAATGATATTTGAACATGACAAATACCATAAATGTAATAATTTTAACTCATTGTCTAAATGTTTTAATACACCATAACTGTAGTACATTCTGTGGCTTAAAATTATTTCATTTTATTATATTGTAACATGTTTGGAGTAGGTACTTCCATGGTAACACAATAACAGTGGGCCGTTGTGTAGAGAATGCCAAAACGACAAACACGTTTCCCCGGAGATGGACAACAGAAGGTTTGTTGCGCAACAACCGACTGTCGAAACAGAAATGGTGTCTGGTATGTGGTCCGAAGAACACCTATATAAGGGGACAACGTACCAGATATCGCAAAGTTGGGTAGACCAGCATTGAGCCAGAAGTCAGTCTTAAGAGTGTCACCGTCGAAGGCAGTTGAAGCCTAGTATTCGCCGAGATATAGTGGAAGCAATATTTGTGATACTGCAAGTGATAATAATTGTAAAGTGTGTGAGTGTAGAAGCGAAGCACAATAAATATTCGCTATGTCCTTGACGGCGTTAAGTTATTTGTCACGTGATATACCCAACACATGACAATATATACATTTATGTACATCTTTAAGAATCCAATTGAATGTAGAACCTTCTTTCCAATTTTAATGCATTTTATAAAGTTTTGTAATAATTCAGATTAAAGATGAATGTATTAACTGAGTGCAAAGTCAGGTGCATAGTAATAGTTATTATATTGTATTGTATGAATTATGTAAAGCGCAGTTCAGTAGTTTGTGTACTGCCTGATGATGGCTTTATAAGCCAGAACATGTAGCATATTAACATACTGTTAAGACCAGTAAACTCGTTATACACAGTGAAATGTGAATGAGCTTCTAATGGTTGTTATGTTGAGATAGGAATAAAACGAAGAAGTGATACATGTTACATAAAATTTCATTTCATTCTGTAGTGACTTTGTATTTTTGCATGTTGAAAATAATGGAAATGATATCTGCTGTGTTTGTGAATAGCTTTGCTGGGCCATTGGCAGCATATCAGGAGCCATGTATGAGGAGGATGAGAAGAGGTTCCTGGTGACTGTTATCAAAGACTTGTTAGGCCTCTGTGAACAGAAGAAAGGAAAGGACAACAAAGCCATAATTGCATCCAACATCATGTATGTTGTGGGGCAGTACCCAAGGTTTCTTCGAGCACACTGGAAGTTCCTCAAGACTGTAGTTAATAAATTATTTGAATTTATGCATGGTGAGTGTATATTACGACAAACCCATTTATCCTTTCACCTGTGAGTGAAAAGTAACACCATGGAGCAGGAAAAAAACATGTTAGTAATACTCCATCAAACTGTCTCATCCCTCTTCCTCCACAGATGTTGAATAGTGTATTTGTGCGTGCGTGTATGTGTGTTATAGGGGGATTCAGAACTACTACAGTACTTAAGGAGGTTCTTAGGAATATTCCTTGGAGTGGAAAATGTAATTAATGTCATTGTTTCACTTCTCCACTCTTAAGGGGTTATGTCTTAGTATTTAGATGTCTGTGGTGTTGTGACAAAAAGAGATGTTTTATAACATAACATGGCAGCACATCTTGTTTATAGCTAAAGGAAGCAAGTTGTGTCCTTTGTTCACTCTTCAGTTGTCACTGTAGAGTGCTTCTTTTGAGTACGTTTTCTTCATGTGGCTGGGACTTGTTAGTGGACTGAATGTACATCACAACAGGTGTCTCAAGTGTTCCCCTCCCGAATGCATCTGACAGTGACATCAGATTGAGCCCCTGCAGTAACTGGAGTAGGTGGATTCCTTCTACTGTTGTTGACAGTCCGCAAATAAGTACAGCGCATTTCATGTCTTTCCACTCTGCCGTATGTGCTCATATACTTGTGTGGTCTTCAGGAAGATGGATTCTGCCTAATGTTTCTGTGCTCAGTGGGTCATCTTCTGGGTCTCACTTGCCCTCCTCGTTTAGCTTTGTCATGTACTGGCTGTTAAATGTTTGCCATGGAAGCATAATTTTGACCTGCCGTGTAGCATAGGACACCTCCACGATTCTTCCCTGGCTTCAGAATTCTGATTTTATGCATCATGTCGCAGTTAAGCATTACATTGTTCTTCAGTTTTAATGAGAGTGCTTTTTCATAATTTCTTCTATAATGAGCGCTTTATTCCAATATTTGGATCCCCGTAAACATGAATTTGGCAGTTTTGCTTCCTTGCGAAATTTGTATCTTCACAAGTTATGTAAGCATTCTCACACGTTGAATCAAAAGTCTCAGAATTTGCATTGAACAAGTTTTCCCTGTGCATTATCAGCCATGGTATATACAAATATCCTGTTAGTTTAGTTTCTTGGGTTGGGTTGGAGCGGGACTGAGTCCACTACGTACTGTGGCCACTGACTGGCCTATTGTACCAGCCCCGGATGATAGGTGAGGGTGATTGTGGAGCATTCAGTGGAAAGACAATTGGAAGGGGAAACTGAAATACTCAGAATAAACCTGCCCCAGTGCCACTTTGTCCACCACAAATCCCACATGTCCTGACCTGGGTTGTAACTGATGCTGTCGTTTTGGAAAACTGGCAGCTCACCACCTCAGCTGTGGCACAGCCAACTATCCTATTAGCAAGTGTGAGAAGGTGCACAAAGAAAGTTGAGTAGAGCTGGAAGTAGCTGGATCGTTTAGTTCTAGCAGATTTCCTCAATTATAAAAAGTGGGGGGGGGGGATGTGCCTGCCATATGAAGCATGCTGATTGCCTGTTTGTTTGTTGGTTACAGAGTTTGATGATTTTTAGTATTGTGTTCACAGTTTTTGAGGTAAAAGTATTCAATGTTATTAAACTTGCATAACTGTGCTCTGTTGTGTATCAAGTTCAGACTTGACAGGATAATGTGCACATCTGTTAATTCTGTTACATATTCCCAGTTTTCATGGTTACAGTGTGAAAGCTGTAAATATTCACTGTGTAATTTTTTAACAGTTTATATATTAATTGGTTTTTAACTTCCTATAAGTTGTATTCATTATAGCATTATTTTTCATGTTTTTGCGAGTTTCAGTATAAGACACTTCAACTGTATTGCCAATCTTTTTGTTCTTGGATGTAGGACCTCTTAACTCAGCCATAGGACACCTTACTTTGAAAGCTTTCGTCAGCGCCACATTTGTATCTTTCTCATTGTAACTGATTCCAAGTGGAGTCTGCTCTGGAAGTCCTTGAAAATTTCTCCGAGTAATACATTCGGACTTTCTAATCCCTTATAAATGCTCATGACCTTCATGATCAAGCTATGTATGAAGTTTACCCTGTTAAGTTCAAGTAGTTAATTAGTGTTTTGATGTACTTTCATTTTAGAAACTCATGATGGTGTTCAAGACATGGCATGTGATACATTTATCAAAATAGCGCTGAAGTGCCGGAGACATTTTGTGACAGTTCAGGTTGGAGAGGTGATGCCATTTATTGAGGAAATTCTAACAACGATCAGTACGATCATCTGTGATCTGCAGGCACAACAGGTAATGGGTCTTTATATATTTATTTTCAGTATCAATATTATTTTTGTGGCAACAGACGATACTTTCAGCAGAAATTGTTTGTGAGAATAATATGTAGTTTGCTGAAATTCCTTCATTCATTGACTGCCAAGCCCCAGTGTAGACATTCTTATTACAAATGCCAAGGCCTCTTTGGGGGCATTTGCGGATGAGCACAAAAATATGAAGTACTTCTGCAAATTATAGTGAAGAGACCGTGAATGTGGATAGCATGAAAGCCTACTCTGTTCTCTGAACATTGGTGTATATCACTTGATGTTTCTGTTGAAAGAAATCCTGTGCTAAGTGATGACATCAAGCGGCAGTTTTCACATGATACGTCAAACAAATCTGATTGGCTTGTGGAATGCAGAGGTTTAATTTCCATACTAAAGGTATCAGACCTCTGATCAAGGAAGCATGGGAACATAGCTTAGGAATGTTTTCCTGATTTCAGGTTCAGGTCGTGCATACCCCACACACACTTCACTTCATTTTTATGAAAGCATCAGTCTTCAGTTTCACAAGTAACTACACTTTCGTGTATATGCACAATGTAATATGTCTTCTTTTGGCCCTCCTGCTAGCCATTTGACTTCCTACTGGCCTTTCAGACATGCCATTGCTAATTGTGCTCAAATTGAGCAAGCAGCAGTTGTAAGACTACCCAGTCATTGCTGCAAAACTGCCACATTCAAAAATAGCCATATCTCTTGTCCTTGCATATTCATGGGCACAGAGAAAGAGGTTCAGTATTTGTGTTTGATGCTCCCAATTTGCATTGATGTTAAGGGTTTTTGTTATATAACTTTTGCTGATAATTTCTGTGCCTCTGTGTTTGAAAAGTTACAGATTAGTGTTCTCAACCATGTTTTTTTTATTTCTACCATTTGCAAGAAGATTGAAAATGTGTAGCTCATGGTTATTACATGCATTAATACTGAGTGTAAAACACTACATATTCTACTGAATGAATGTTGTAGTTTATTGTAGATTAATACCCAGTTCAGTTTTGATGTAATTTCAAACTTTTGATTCTGTTAGATCTGTATATAAATGTAAACTACATGTGTACAAATAGAGAAAGACTTTAATAACGTTGAAGTTTATAATGATGCTGGGACTTGAGATAGTTTATGCAGAAAACCGTATAGGAGATGAGGAGTATGTAATATAATTGATTTCTTTGTTCGCATTATATTGTATTTACTCACTTTTAGGTAAGAAGTTTGAAAAAATTGAACATAATTTTACTTTTGATAAATTTTGACCAGTGCATAGTTTTTTTGTGAAAAATGTGGTTTAAATTAAATACATTATGACAACAGCATGAGAACTTAATTATGTTGTAGGATTTGAGGTTCTCATAGTGGTGGTTGTGAAGGGGTCTGTCCTCTGGGATATAACACTGAAATCCATTGAAAGTTTACTGATATTTTCAAGGAGCTTGGCCCCATCTCCAGGGTTGAAGAGTAAGCCAGCATGATGGAGGTATAAATCAGAGCTTGCTTGCACTCTGACACTGAAGGTGGAGGCAACATATTCCTCCGAAACATCAGTTGACTTTCAGTGGACTACATGGTTGCTTGAAATACCAAGATGCACATGGTAGAGTTCATAGACACGAATATCCGTTCCATGTTGCCACATTGCACCCGACTTTAATAACATTTTCTACCAGAAATTATGCTTTGCTCAATATTTTGGCATGGAGCATTTTATTGTCAGTGTTAATTAAGGAACAGTCTAATGAATTTTGTAGGCACAAATGATGATACTGTATTGCCACATTGCATTCACCTATAATCAGCTCTCTTTAACATGTAAAATTATACTCTGAAAAGTAGTATTTGCTTATTTTATACACCAAATTTCTGTACACAATTTTCTTTGCCTAAAGAAGTGTGTAAGTTATGCAAGTCAATGGGGTAACTTATTTATTTTTATTTATTTTGTACACATATATTTCCACCTTAAATGCAACTCATCTACCATGGTTGGAACTTTAATAGTGGCAACACTGTTGTAGAGAGGCCATGCAAAGGAACCAAATAATGTTGCTTATATCACACGTTAGTTACATACCTACCTTACCTCAGAGAAATGGACTCTTCCTTCCCACATCATGCGCATGCGCAGTGATGAGAAGAACAGAGCCTCCTGTTAGCTGGCGGTCTAATGTAGCGTTGTCGCAATGTTTTTGAAACAGGAACAACAAAGTTGGATAAAGATTGAATGTGCCAGAGGCCCTACAATACGACAGTGTCATCAAGGTCTTTAAGAGGCTTGCAGGGAATCTGCATTGCCTTACAGAACAGTGGCAAGGTGGATAAAAGCCTTCAACAAGGGACACCAAAATGTGGCAGACATGTGTCGACCAGGTCGTCCTAGTGTCAGAGAGGAAGAAGCGTATGCTCTTTCCGCATTACTGGAGAGTGATCGACACCATAGGATTCATGAGCTGGCCCAAGGGACAGGATTAGCGTATACGACTGTGCTTCACAATCTGAAAGAATGCCTGGGCATGAGAAAAATTGCATCACGATGGATTCTCCATGATTTGACGGAAATGCTGAAATGGCAAGCTGTGGCTGATTTGTTCGATTGATGGGGCTGGGAAGTGCTGTACCATCCTCCATACTCCCTGGACTTAAGCCCTTGTGACTTCGACTTGACTCCTAAGAAAAAGGAACCACATTGTGGCATTCACTTCAGAACTGTTCCAGAGATTCTTCAGGCAGTAGACCGCTCCATTTAAACTATCAACACAACAGGCGCTGCTAAAGGTATCCTACAACTTCCACATCCCTGGCAACAGGTTGTACACAATGCTGGTGACTACATTGAAGGACAGTCACCCTGGGGACTGGCATTTTTAAACCTACTACCCTAACTTGTGCACTGTTCACTTTAAAAATTAATATAAAATCTCATAATTAATTTTATGAACTAAAATTTTTGGAAAACACTTACCAATGCTCCTAGAAGTGCTTGAGAGTGTGATATTTCTGGAAACAAGCCCCTTTGTGAAGTGACATTACACAGAACTTGCACATGTAGACAGTCATACTCCTTTTGTTGTGTACTGTGCAAACACAGCATCGCCTAGAAGGCTGCTTCCCCTTGGCATGTTCACTCTTCACAATTTTCACGAGGGTATATTTCCGAATATCACCCAAGAGTCGCCCAGGGGGGTCCACATGAGGCCTGAGAGGGGTGGGAGTTGAGGGTCCCGGTCCCACTAAGTCTTTGTTTGACTCTCGTTCTGCTGCCATCATCTGGTCTGTAGCCCAGGCCTTTGCCACATTCAACAGAAATGCTTTGTATTTCAATTTTGAATTGGGGTTTAGATTTTTGTAAACCAAAAATGAATTGAAAATGGCACAATTTATAAGTCACAAGGCAACTTTCTTTGTCCACTTTATTGTTTATCTAGGAAGAGAATAATAGGCCAAGTATTGATCGGCTCTATCAACTCCCTTCATGAACATATTATACTCAGAAATACAAATAGGCTTCTTTACTTGTCCATGTCTCCTTTGAACATGAACCATGCTCAAATTGTGAATTGTGGAAATCATATGCACAACACGAGTATCTCTATCTCCAAAAACCAGTTCTGCTACTTCAGACACTTGCATCGTGTCCGATGGAATTTGTTTCACCCCTGGATTTCCAGTAAAGTGTCCCAAAGTAGGCGTTTTGTCTACTTTTCCCCATGTGGCTGTACCCACAATTTTACTACCTGCACTTTCATCGGAGCTACTTTCACTTTTATTGTCTGTGGCTACACTTGTTTGTTGACCCCTGTCACTGCCACCGTCTCAGTTTCACTACACTCTCACAAGGCACGTCAAGTAGCCCATCGGAGAACGAGTAAGATATTTCTTTTTCTCCGAGATATCGCTTCGTCTTCAACCGCTTCTGTCCTTGATTCATATTGCACTAACATCCTGCCTGGTACATAACAGCTTGAAGGGTCAAAGATTATTTTCCTTTGGAGGGGGAACCAAAACAGCGAGGTCAAGTTACTACCTACTAGGCAAACATTCCGGAGTAATATTACGCAGTAGTCATTCATTTGGGTGGCGCCAGAGAGATGTATAGTGTGTTGCAACTTATTGTATTCTAAAAACCAGTTAACAGGCGTCCGGTCCGCCATGTTTAAAAGCAAAAAACCTTTAAAAGGATGCACGGTCCGCAGAGTGTTAAGCAAGATAGACAAGACCAGATGATGGTCATGTGCAGCTGAAACATGTAGTGAGGAAGAGGGGTCACTAGATCATAAGTTGCATTTCAGATGGAATTATATGTGTACAAAAGATATATGAATGCAATACAATATTTTGTTTATTTATTCAGATTGTCTTCATGGAAGTAAGATTGGTGGCAGCAGCTTCCTAAGAAACATTGGTATCTATTTACCCAACTCTACCAAGTGAGTTGTCTGAAGCGGTGATGCTTCTGTATGTGTTCAGAAGGTGTTAGGTTGGAATTCCGGCTGAGACCCCAGTTACCCTGACAGATCTTTTTTCTGTATTATTGTAGTTTATCCAGGCAAATGTTAGGGTAGTATGTCGAAATATCTGTGATGGTTTCTTTTCATTTTCTTAACATTCACTGCTGTGAGAACCTGGTGTCTCATAGGACATATTTGTGTGTTTATAGTTTTTAAATTTAAACTTCATTAATGTAACTTGTGTTTGTGTTGATACTAGGTTCATACTTTTTATGAAGCAGTGGGGTATATGATCAGTGCACAAGTGGATCAAGTTATACAAGAGCATCTCATTGAGAAATACATGATGCTACCCAATCAGGTGTGGGATGATGTCATCAGTCAAGCATCAAAGGTAAGAAAGTTGCTTGTTGCCTACCATATCAAAGGTGTAAAGCCACGCCTTACAGGAAACTAGTAAAGCACCTTGATAGGTATCATGCAGACTGGCTGCTTCTACCCGGGGTGCAGCAGTAACCCAGTTTTTAGAACAGGAGGCAAACAGAATCTAGGCAGTGACCGTCTGGTGTGAACATCGCAAGCCTGAGCAGAAGGGTAAGGCTAGGGGGAATGCTTGAGTCACACAGACTGGAAGGATGAGGTGGTCAGATGCATACTTTTCATAGTGATGTAGAGTTGTGGCCAGTTCTGGCACATGGTTGACTCACAAAGGTGGCATCTTCTTTCGTTTCACCATACTAGATTTGTATTTTGGAGATGCTTGGTTTGAATCTCAGGAGCCAGGATAACATGGTATAGCGACTGACTATGGGCTTGACGACTTAGGGGTTTGAGTTCGAGTCCCAGTAGTACCAAGAATTTTCTCTTCTCCACATTGTCCAGACCAGCTCTGGGGCCCATCCAATATCCTATCCAAAGGGTACTGGGGCCTCTTTCCCTGGGAATAAAGTGACGGGGGCATGAAGCTGACTACTTGCCTCCAACTGGTGCCAAGGTCATGGAAAATGTGGCCTAAACAACCACTCCCCCATACACCTTCATGGTGTAGTGCTTGATTAGCACAAGGAAAACTTTTGCTTTTTACGTTACTTGTTTTTAATCTCACTGAGACATCTATTATACTGCCAGGGTATTTTATTTTTGATTTTCCGTAGTCCCTCCAGGCAGACAGTGAGGTACTACCTTGATAGGCTGCAGCTGCTGCCATTGAGCCCACCTCATGGCTAAGGGCGGCAGCAGATTCCTCATCAGCAAGGGTAGAGAAGTAACTGGGGTTGTAAGTGACCACAGCCAGCCATCTGCAACTTCCCAAATTTTACAGTGAAACAGATACAACCTTCATGTTTTGGGTGCCCCAGTGGACTCGCATCTTCATGGAGCTGTTGTTCTGTTACAGAATGTGGATGTGCTGAAAGACCAGGATGCCGTGAAACAGCTAGCTAGTATATTGAAGACGAATGTGCGTGCGTGTAAAGCTCTTGGTCATCCTTACGTTTTGCAGGTCAGTAAATGATTTATACACGTGTCCCAGAGGAAAGGTTAGTATTCTGGGAAGTCATAGTATAGCAAGTGTCACGTAACTTTGAACAAGGCCAAGAGTAACCTTGCATGCGCAGAAGACAAATTTCAGACAAAAGGTGGGTTCGAGGGTGTGAGGAGTGGCAGGCGGCCAGTTGTTTGTAAGGCACCCTCGAAGCAGGTTATACTTACGGTTTTTCTATTATCTGTTTAAAAACGTCAGTTTCTACATGTGCTTCCATGACGAATGGCTGAATTCTTTTCTTCATTACATACGACTATTATATTTTAATTTTCAAAGAATAAGCTAGGAATACACATTACATGTATTTTTCTTTGCATGACGAGTGAAAATATATTTGTGTTATTGTAATATATTCTTCGAAAAGAGAATAGGGTAGTGTCAATGAAACATGAGGGGTCAGTGAAAGTGGAAGAACGAGTGTTAAGAAACTCCTCCCACCACAAGCTATGCGCGGGATTTGACTAGGAATGTGGGGCTTTGTTCGGAGTTACGTGACACTGTCTATATTAGTCATTCTAAGCAAAAGATTGTATATGTACATTCTGAATGGTTTCTAATGCAGAGCTATTTCACTGTACAAACGAGCAACACGCCATGTCCTCACACGAGTTGCAAAGTGCATTGATGTTGACGGTGGAATATTCTGAAATGTATTATACTAGGTAAACTGTACCAGATTTGTCAGTTGAACAATGAATACCGGTATTAGAAACAGTACATAATATCTCTTTCTTATCAACAGTTCTGGAACTGTACAGTGAAATAGCTCTATCTCGGAAACCGTTCGGCATAGGACACATGTACATATACACTTCTTTGCTTAGAATGACTGGTACTATGACCTCCAAGAATATTGACCTCTCCTCCTGGGACGCCCTGTGTTTATTTGCTTGGTAAGTATTTTGGCATACCTTGACAGCATTGGACTTGTGAAGTCAGTATATTATGACAGGAGTGCTGTACCAACTTAATAAGTGATATTTGTACACTAGACTCACGCAAGGAAAATTTTTTGCTTTTGGATAGTCGCAAATAATGAGGTATGCTGTCATACCTCTAAACACGCCATTCATCATGTGCATATATCTGAACTGTTTCCAAAAACCTGTACTTTTCAATGTTGTCGAAACTAGAAGAGGTTGGAGGAAGAGTCTGGTAGAGTACCTTACAATTCCTACATCAGAGAGTAAATGTATAATGGAACATCCTATCATTTCTGTGTACAGTTGTAAAGTAAGGTGAAGCTGTCCCTGTAACAGGCCATGGAGGCCCATAGGGCTGTGAGATGTCAAGGCTCCCACCTTTTCTAGACACTCGTCTCACAGATGGCAGTGAGGTTGTCAGCCTTACACACCAGCTGCCCTTTATCCCCAGGAAAATTCCTTGTACTCATTTCTATTAGAGGCCCAGTCTAGCCCAGGACCATAGTATGGCTGGAGCGATTAGGTCAATTAAAAAATCCAGTGATCTCATCAGGAATTTATCCCATGATAATCTGGCTTGTAGAATAGTGCCTCAACCAGTTACGCTACAGCATACCCCCTCTGCTCCATTGTACTTTGTTTTTGTTGTAGTTGGGTCGAATCTATCTGGACATGCTGAACGTGTACAAAGTTATGAGTGAGAACATCATTGCGGCAATTGCAGTGAATGGTGAGGGTGTCATGAAGCAGCCACTAATCAAGAGTATGCGTGTTGTAAAAAAGGAAACACTTAAGCTCATATCTGACTGGGTCAGCAGGTCAAATGACCATGCCATGGTGAGTTTAAACAGGCATTATATATTCCATATGTGGATGAATGTTTTAAAATATTTTAGAATGATGTTTCAAGGACAGTAGCATAAGCATGAAACAGGATTTGTACTTTTCATAATAGAGCCATAAGAACCTTCATTTTTTAATTGAATTCAAGGGTTGAAAAAATTGAGTTGTTTTGGTGAGATGCATGTGACATTTTTCTTTGACCATAGATATAACTGTGATATTTATGATGAGTGGGATGTGAGAGGACCCAAATAAAATATGTTTATTCATACATACACTCATGCTCACGCAGGACAAAAGTCAGGGATCGGGTATGGTGTAGAACAAGGAATTTGTTTTAGCAAGCATATTTTTACCCATTGTCAATTTAATTATATTAGGTGAAAGAAATTTATGGACATTGACGTGAGTGAAGAGCGTTTTAATTTCTGTGATGTATAAATTTCTGTGCTGAAATTTATGATAAAGAGGATACGTCTATCTAAGTTTCAGGCAGAAACAGAACCAGTCAGATCACAGTTAAGATATAGTTATTGTAACTGTTTATTATTAAGAGTTTATTACTTTCTTGTAGTTTCACATGCAGCTCTGTGTTTTATAACGTTTATTAAAAGTTCTATAAAAATCCATCACTACATGTTTCGACCAATACGGTCATCATCAGGTATTCAAATTACTGGGTGAGGAAATTGCTGCCTTCCATGGTTGCTTATGTTCTTAATATACAAGTCCTCTCATTGTGCGCATGTGTTTGAGTTAGTGGGTTAAGCTCTCTCATGTTGTGTGTTGTGCTGCGTGTCCTGTTCTCAACCTCAAGATGTTAATGAATTAACGACACTGAAACCGTTTATCACTCTGATGTTTTTGTTATAGGGCCAAATTATTTCTGTCACCATTACAGTGTGTTTGAAGTATTCTGTGAACAAGGAAGACAGGCTTATATATTGACCATACCCATATTTTTTGTACTGAAACTTTGGAAAAGAAAAAGTGTGACCTATATGAACTTCAGTGATACTGACAGGCTTTCATGTAGAAAGTCCTTATAATCTTTAGGTAACCTTGTGTCTGCAACTTGATTTTGGTATTGACCTCCTGTGTTAGCAATTTCCACTGCCAGTTAATGACTTTGATTAAATTTTAGATTTTCATTATCCTTCCTGTGCTTTGTTTGATCTGCCTTCATTCCATCTCTTCTACCAGATCATTAGGTAGTATTGTTAATGTATGCGCGCAGTCACATGTTTGTGGTGTGTGATGGTGTGCATGCATACCATGACTGTGTTGGATTTGATGTCCTCGCAGCAGTGACTATGAATGCTCAGTCTTGTGGAATATAACAGTGTGTAGTCTGCTGAAAGCCAGCTGATGCTGAAGACACGGTAAGATATGTTCTTTTGAAATGTTGGTTGACTTTTGCCAGACCACACAGCATTACACCCAGAGGATAGAACTCTTCATGTCATGGTTATTATGAATATTCACTACTTTATTTTGTTGTTCCAGGTTTTGGAAAGTTTCATCCCTCCATTGTTGGATGCAGTACTGATAGATTATCAACGGACTAGTGTGCCTTCAGCTCGAGAACCAGAGGTTTTAAGTGCTATGGGGACCATTGTTAATAAATTGGGAAGTCACATCACAAGTGAAGTGCCCAAAATCTTTGATGCTGTCTTCGAATGCACACTGGAAATGATAAATAAGGATTTTGAAGAATATCCTGAACATAGAACAAATTTTTTTCTGCTTTTGCAGGTAACTAATGAATACAGTGACATCTGTGCATTGAGTTTTTATTTTGTTAACTGTGAATCTCAGTTACATTTTCAAGGTTTATTCAGACTTTTCCAGTGTTGGCCTCCTTATATGTTAAAAGCATCCAGGAATGCTGTGTTGCCACAGTGCTCATTTGGCAAATGAAGAATAGAAATTCTCTGTTGTACCATATTCCTCATCAGGATTACTGGGTTTCTGGGCTTTTTCCATTGCCTGCTGTTCTAAAGAATGCTGCGTTTTGGAAACTGGGTCTGTTTCCATCCTTGCATGAGGGAGTTGGAGTCACCTGCTATGGTTGGTCCTTTGGAATGAACTAACCTCAATCAGTGGACCAATCATCAGAACTCTTTAGAATCTCTCAGATTCCCCGTGTACAGTATGTTTCCACAGATCTAGAAATGAAAGAAAACCACTTCTTACAGCAGACATTTTGAAGAAGATACTGTCATTAAAATCAAAGAATTTTACTATGTTTAAAAGAAATTGTTGCATGAGGGAGTACTTGTTAAAATGGAAGTTCCTGATATTAGCTGTGGTTGTTATGTCAGAATTCTGTTGTATCAAACCATGAAACTTTTGATAGTAGCTTTGTGGGAACCATAATCTAATCTTAAAACTATGCTCAAGTCCTCGTAAGAAGAGCTAATTTAAATCGGAATTGCTGAATGACCTCGTCAGTTGTAACAAATTATGCTTGTGTTAATGGATGATCACCATTTAATGTCCGCTGCAAGTTTCTCTCAAGCAGCCAGCATAGAAACTGCATATTTATGCATATCAGGTTTCAATACATTTGTAAAGTATATGTCAGGAATGGGAAACTAATTAGTTTAGATTAATTTAGAAAAAAGTATCCCGATCTTGATTTGAATATTGATTATTCAGTATCAGACTCCAAGAATTTTCAGGTAGATGCTGTTGCTCTAAACTCTTTCATAAATTCATCCATCAGAATCGTAATCATCTTGTCAACAGTGAATGTGGGTGGCTGTCGTCTTTCTCCCCATGGTGAAGGAGATAATTTAAATTTTTTTGTGTAGAGGGTTCTGTGCAATAACAAAAGGAGTATGGTGTTATAAACAGTTATGACAGTGAAAAAATTGATTTAATAGAGGAAATGTTTGTTTGTTTGTTTATCAAAATTTTGCCAGTTTCTCATTTTGACCTTGTCACTAACTGAAAATGTCAGTCTCACATATGCGTAATGGACAGATACAGTTTTGTGTTATGGATGTCTCTTGCCTAGATATTGTGGAGCCTTAGTAGGTTCAGTATTTCACATCTAGATGGCATGTAAGGGCAAAAGTATGAAAACAGTATATTTGTATCGGTCAATACAACAATTCAGGTAAAAGTAATAACAAAGATTATTTACATTAATGTTGTTCACGACATGTTTTGTTCCCTGTTGGGTCATCGTCAGGTGTATTTCTGTGTTCTTAGATGCTGAATTCTGTTCCATATGGATCCATATTTTTCTTCATATTTGACTATGATTATGTCATTATTGCTTAGTAGTGAACCTCTGGTTTGTTTGCCATTCTGCTTTAAACCATAAGTAAGGAAAATACGTAAAGCTATCCCTGTAACAGGCTGTGAAGGCCCATAGGGTTGTGAGACGAGGGTCCCACATTATCTATACGCTCGGCTCACAGATGGCGGTAAGGTTGTCGGCCTTACGCACTGGCCACACTTTACTCCCCAGGAAAATTATTTAATTAAATCCTGCTGTTCTGTTAGAGGCTGAGTCGACCCCAGGGCCGTATTGCGGCCAGAAGGATTAGGTCAATTGTAAAATATCCAATGACCTCATCGGGACTTGAACCTGCGACCTCCTGGCTTGTAGCATAGTGCCTCAACCTAAAACATTTTTTAGTGGTTGCTGCAGGAGTAGTCGCATATTTTGATTTATTATTGCTGTCCCTAAAACTGGCTTCCAGTTTCCTTGAGGGATCATAACCTATTTTCAGATTCCTGTGTTTCTGGGAAGTCACAAAATGTAGTTTGTCATTTGCTTCCGTCTCCATTGTCAGACACCCTTCATAGATGCAGTATGTCCCTCTGAAACTTGGCTACCCATTTACCGAACAATATGGAGTCATACCAAAAGTTTTGAGTCTCTTATGATTCATGAATATGATAATGAAAGCTGCAGACTGCTGCATAGAGATGGTAGAGGCAGATCCTTATTTATGTAAATAACACTGTAGCAGATGCAGACCAACATAGTTCAGATTATTTGTAAAAGATAGCAGAGGTGTATGGTGTAGACTGGAAGAAATGTGGATGTTATTCTGTTTGCAGGCTGTGAATAACCATTGCTTTCCAGCATTCCTAAGTATTCCACCAGCTCAGTTCAAGCTGGTGTTGGATTCCATTATCTGGGCCTTCAAACATACAATGAGGAATGTAGCAGATACAGGTTTACAGGTTGGTACTTTTGTTGCAATATTTTATTAATGCTGCAAAATTTTGATCTAGTGATGTTGTATATTTAGGGAATATTGCTTCTGCTCCCAACCAAAGCCAAAAAATGTAAACATTCTATTAGTTGCAAATGTTTAGCAAAAGTTTGAAGTTAGTAAATGACTTACATTTAGTTTAAGAAGTTCCATCCGGTGTTGTGTTTATTCAACATACATATCCAAAGCAACCAGGAATAATAGACTTCATATAATACCATGGCCACTGATGTGTCCCAGTACTACACCAGGTGTTCAGGTGCTGTGGAGAAGGGGTGAGGGTTCAGTGTTTGCACGTATCTGGCCACCTTGGCTTTCATGTCATCATTATGTCAGAAGTGTTCTCGTTTGAAATGCTTCTTCAGAGGCCCACAGAAAATTGAATTGTTTGGCACAAATCCAGGCTGAATAGTGGGGAAGCTGCAAGACAGTCCTGCAGAGCTCCTCGGCCACGAGGCTGCAGAGAATGGACATTGCTATTGCACAGGACTGCAACACCTGAAGTAAGCAAACACTGGATCCCGCTCGAGTTGATGATCTTGTGGAGAAATAGACGGTTCTTTACTCTGTTTGAGATGTATGTTAAAGCGATAATGAACATAAATGTAACAGTAGCAAGTGTTGGCTGTTTATTTTCCCAATGGGTGATGACTGCTTTTACAGATCCTGTATCAGCTCTTGCAGAATGTGGAGCAACATGACCAAGCTGCCCAGAGTTTCTATCAGACTTACTTCACTGATATTTTGCAGCATATCTTCTCTGTGGTCACTGATACATCACACACAGCTGGTAAGGGAAACCTGGGATGTGATGCTGTGCAGTTTCACCTATCTTACTCCAGTTTCTTTCTTGCTCATCATGGTTCCCATCTCTATATATCCAGACCACCTTTTCCACACTTGGCTTCCTCATTGCACCCTGAAGATGGAAGCAGCACATTGGTAAACATCTACAGGACTACATGGTGTCACCCTAGAAGATGATAATCATAGTTACAGCTGTGAGAGTCCCAGATTCCATTTATTTGTCAAGCTAAGATAGCTGAGTATAGCATCAGGCTATGGCTTGGATGGCTGGGATTCAATTACCAGCAGGGTCAGGGATTTTTCTATTCTCTACAGCAGTGCTGTCAAACGTTCTTATGTACTCGGGCACAATTCACTGATGCCTATGGAGGTGCGGGCGCCACCACACACTACTACTACTACAAATAATAATAATACAATTTTTCGAAAATATTTAACAGTACTCAGACGTTCAAAAATGTCTCTTGTCTTACAATTTGAATTAATATTAAAAATCGGTTCAATTATATGTGGTTACCAAGGGCACCAGAAAAATATACCACGGGCGCCGCGTTGGACAGGGCTGCTCTACAGCATCCAGATTTGCTCTGGGTCCACCCAGCGTCCCACCCTGTGGGTGCTGGCCCTTTTCCCCCTGAAGTGAAACAGCCGGGGGATAAAGCTGATAGCTCACCTCCGTCTGATACTGAGGTCAAGAAAGGTGGAGCTATAACTGCACTCTGCATATGTCGTCATGATGTGGCACTTAATTAATTAAGTACAGGGACAACTTTACCTTTTTTTACCTTACCATGTACTTGTCGGCTCCTAAGTCCTCACTGAATGTGAAGACAGCCCAGTTACTAGTACTGTGGATCCAGAGTTTTATAACTGAGATGTCACTTCACTCTTCACATTCCAGTAATCAGGTTTACCCCTTATGCGGGCAGTGAAAATAAAGTGGAAAACTTCTGTGGGTGGACACATACCAAGTAGCAGCTGCCATTACCTGTCACAAGTCAGTCACAGCTTCCCACTGTGATGGCCCAGGTTCTATAACAAGTCAGGTGGAGTTTTTTGATAGGGTGGCACTGGGACAGGTTTTCTTTGAGTACTTCAGTTTCTCCTGGCAATTCTCAGTTCAACTGCCCCACATATGTTAATCATCCTATCATTAATACTGTGACACAATTGCCTAATCATTCATTGTCTGTTGCTAGGTAACAGCTGGGTAAAAATATAACAGTGCCCATCTCATTGCTAGGCAATGGCCATAGTAGCAGTTGGAGAGGTTAGAAAGGTTATTTTCTTTGCAGTCCATGCCACTGTTATTTAAGGAGAGCTAAGATAGATAATTAGTCATTTGGCATAGTGCAGTTTCAAACCCTTCAGTCAAGGAACTCGTGGCCCTACTCGATTTGAGCAAATTCTCTATGTCAGCACCACAGTGCTGCAGTGGTGACATGCTAGATGCTGTGGTCCACCAAAATATCAGGAGTGTCAGATGTTATTGTCTCCAATATTCTGGACTCAGATCACGTACCAGTAATATTCCAATATTGGATCGTGTCAAAATTGGGAATATTTCGGAACCTATTGAGAAATTCACAGATTGGAATCAGTTTCAAAACATCGCCGCAGAATTAATACAACCCAGAATCAAAATTCACTTGGGGGTTAATGCCGGTAAAGCAGTGCACAATTTTGCAGCCTCTGTCACTTCAGTATATTGGCTGTTGACCAGTAAAGTTACATTTTCAGACATAAACAGTGGTCTTCCTAGTCGAGATTGGCTGTTAAAACATAAGCGGAGGGTAGAAAATTGTGGCAGGAAACCAGTGGTCCACTGTGGAAAACTGCAGTTAATGGCTCATGAAATCAATCAGACAAATGACCCATAAAGAGGCACTTGATGGGTGGGAAACAAAAATAGGTACCTCTGAAGTCACACCTCATGCTGTGTCGCCAATTGTGAAATCCCTCCTAAAGAGTAGTGGACCAAGGACACCTACTGCTCTTCATGGTCCTTCAGGCCTTCATTTTCATCCATCCGAGAAAGCCAATGCAATTGCTGACTGCTTGGAAAATACAACTTGTGTTCAAGCTCTTCTTGAAGCTGTAGACAACCCCCCCCCCCCAAGGGAATAAAACCATGTGACTAATGAAAACTGATTCATTCCTTGAAATTGAGAAATGCATGTGCAATTGATGGTATTCCAAATGAATGCCTCAGGCATCTTCCAAGAAAGCCATTGGTACACTTCACATATTTATTTAATCACTGCCTCTCACTGTCCCATTTTCCAAAGCCTTGGAAGGGACCAAAATCATAACGTTAGAGAAACCCAGTTAGGATCCAAAATGCCCTCAAAATTTATGTCTGATTAGCAGTGTTGTTGCCAATTAGTGAACCAGATGATGAAGAAGACAGTATAAATGAAATGTTTCCTGGCTGGAACCAACTTTAATACAAAGAGCTGTTTTCGTTACATACTTTCAAAGTTCCTAGATTTAAACCTTGTTTGTAATGTAGTCATTTTAATTCTAATTGGTTTCATTAGGTTTGACGATGCATGCTACGATCCTGGCGTACATGTTTAGTCTGGTGGAGTTGGGGCGTATTACTGTGCCCTTGGGTCCAGCCCATGACAACACATTGTACGTCCAAGAGTTTGTGGCAAGTCTTCTGCGGACAGCATTCCCACATCTCACTGACAACCAGATCAAGATTACAGTCCAGGGACTCTTCAACCTTGATCAAGACATCCCTGCCTTCAAGGAACATTTACGTGACTTCCTTGTTCAGATCAGGGTAGGACTTTTATGTCATGTATTGTTCAGTAAAGTGGGTTTGTTTCTTCCCACCATGTTCTGGCTTGCACATGTTGTGGATGGTAGCTACCAACTAACCTGTTTTCAGCTGACTTTATTTCTGAGACCTGGTTGGCTGCTGCTCCTAAACAGCCATACCATGTCTTGAGTATTTTGTGCTACAGTGAGGTCCAAACTTAAGTGACCCGCACTTAACCCTTTGACGTGGTCATTTAAATTCCGCGGCCGCGGCTCCTGCGGTAATATATTCAGCCGGCCATTTAAATTTTGCTCGAAAATTATTTATTCATCATTGTTCTTAAATTCTATGAGATAGGAACATGAAACTTTCACTAAAATGATCTTAAATGGTGGTTTTATAACCTTACCTTATAATATGGGCGCCCTGTATCTCGGCCATGGAAGCAGGTTGTTTAGTATTTCAGCAGTGAATGGTACGCCTTGAAGGATGAAACTTTCACTAAAATGATCTTAAATGGTGGTTTTATAA